ACCCACATGGGATGCCAGCACTGCAGGCAGCGGCTTTACCTATTACACCACAGCGTTGGAAGCCCTCAAATTTTAGTTATCTAAACACAAAAGCTCTCACCATAAAGAACAAAGAACTGCTGAGGTGGATTTTAAGGTGAATGTCTGGGACTGTATTGATGAGAAAAATCAAGGAAGACTTCCTCCAATGATAATAAACCAATAACATATAAAGAAATGGGATGTGCATGTCAGTAACTCCTCAGATGTTTATTTCTGAGAAGGAAAAGGAAGTTATTGCAGAGATGACCAAACAATCCAGAAAAGAAGACAACAGATACACCTGTCAACTTCTTTATGTAATCGTCCTTGTGAAAACAGGGATTTCCTTTATCTGAAGAAAGGCATGATGTTAGCAGATAAGCATAAGATTACAAATTAGACTTTGTGGCGCTCGAGCTGTGATACAGTGAGTTAAGCCACTATCTGGAGTGCCGGCATCCCAGCTGGGCGGTGGTTCGAGTCCCGACTGCTCCACTTCTGATCCGGCTCACTGCTAATCCATCTAGGAGGGCGACAGAAGATGTGCACAAGTTCTTGGATCCCTGCACCCATGTGGCACACCCACATGAAGCTCCTGGCTTTTGGCTTCAGTCTGGCCCATCCCTGGCCATTGCAGCAATTTAGGGAGTGAACCAGCTGATGGAAAACTTCTCTTTCTGCTTCTCCCTCTCTGTAACTTCACCTTTCAAATAAGTCGATAAAACTTCTAAAACATTCAACTGCGTGCCATTGATTATAAATACGCTACTAATCAGGAAATTGAAGGAGCTTATAATTTAACCAGAAATATAATGCCAACCTGGTGTCACCTGAGGTTAGCTACAAAGATTATTTCCTAGTTTGAACAAACAAAAGTTATGACTTTTATAATAAATAGGCTCTAAACTTAGAACATTCCACCCCTTCAACTGGATAAAGGTGAAAATAGAATAGGTATTTTATTAAAAATGAGCACAGAAAAAAAATATGATGACATGAGGGTTTCATTCACGTGTATGTTGACTCATAAAAAGTCTATGCTTCTAAACTTTTTATAATAAATCATTTTAGACTTGAAGAGTCGCACAAAGAGTACAACCAAACTAAGACTTCATAACATTTCCAGAGCCTCACAGCCTAGACAGTGGTTCAAATAAGAATGCTGAACTCACTACCTATGCTTTTTCAATCCCAGAAAGTTGAAGACATTTCCCAAGGTCATAGAAAGACAGCATGTAATAAAACAAAACACGCAAACCTAATGACACTTTACTGATTCTGGCCAGGAGTAGTTGGGACATGAACTGGTGTTCACATGGGATGCCCGTGCTGCAGGTGGAGGCTTAGCCTACTACACCACAGTGCCAGACCTGGAATTAGGTTTTGATTACTTTCCTTAGTACAGTCTGTCATTCTGTGACCTTGGGAAAATGTTTTGGACTTTTTGGGATTGAAAAGCATGGGTAGTGAGTTCAAGCTTTCTTATTTCAAACACTTTCTAGGCTGTGAGGCTTTGGAAACATGATGAATGCAACAATACATCAAAAAGGTATCATATATGTATACATACACAACATGTAATATGATGAGTGGGTTTTATCAGAGTCACGCAAGTGTGGTTCAACATCTATAAAAATCAATGAAATCACATCAGCAGAATGAACAACATAAAACAAATGAACATCTCCATGGGTGCAGAGAATGCTTCCATCACAAGATTCAACATCGCTTCATGAAAAAAAAAAAACTGAACAAGGTGCAGAGGAAACACAGCTCAAAATTCAAAACTATATGATAAAAAAATAGCCAATATCATACTGAATGGGAAAAGCTGAAAACATTTCCCCTGATTTTTGGAACAAGATAAGAACTCCACATAAACCGTTCTTAGTCAATATAGTATCTCAAGTACTCAAAAGAGTACTCAGGTAAAGTAAAGAAATAAAGGATGAAAACTGGGAAGGGGGAAGTCAAAATATGTTTTGTTCAGAAGACATGATTTTAGACAGAAAAACTTAAAACACTGCAGTAAAAATATGTTTGGAGTGATAAACCAATAAGTCACAGGATACAAAATCAATGTGCAAATAAGTTGCATTCTTACACACTAATAATGATCCTCTGTAAAGGTAAGTTTAAGATCTTTGTAAAAAGTAAGAATGGGAATAGGAGAGGGGAGAGGAAGAAGGGTGGGAATACGGGCGGGATGGAGAGTGGAATGGAAAGTATCACCACCTTCCTGAATCTGTATATATGAAATACATGACATTTGTATATTTTAAATAAAATAAAAAGTATGAAACAGGAAAAAAGAAGCCTAAATTTACAATAGCTACCAAAATTACATAGTTAGTAATGAATTTAACCAAATAAGTGAAAGATCACAATAAACTTATAAAGCACTGATGAAATAAATCATCAGACACATGAAAATGGAAAGACATCCCCTGCTCATCAATTAGAAGAATTAACATTAAAATGTTCATATTCCTTAGGAAATCTACAGACTCAATCCTATCAAAATACCAATGACATTCTTTATACAGTCAGAAAAGAAATGCTAACATTCCTATGGAACTACAGAAGACCCAGAGCAGCCAAAGTGATCTTATACAAGAAACAATATCCAAAGCTGGGTGCCTAACAATGCCTGATTTCACAAAGGCATAGTAAAAAAAAAATAGGATGAAACCGGAATGAAGATGGATACCAAGATCAATGAAAACAGAGAAAAATACATAAATACAAACATATGTAACAGCTAACTGACTTTTGATGAGAATCCCATAGTCCTTTCAGTAAGTGGTACTGACAATACTGGATATACATATACAGAAGAATGAAATTAAATGTGTATGTTTCACCACACATAAAAATCAACTCAGGGGCTGGCACTGTGGTGTAATGGGTGAAGCCACTGCCTACAGCACCGGCATCCCATATAGGAGCCAGTTTGAGTCCCAGCTGCTCCTCTTCCAGTCCAGCTCTCTGCTATGGCCTGGGATAGCACAAGACAGCCCAAGTCCTTGTGCCCCTGCACCCACGTGGGGGACCCGGAAGAAGCTCCGGGCTTCTGGCTCTGGATCAGCGCAGCTCTGGCCATTGCAGCCATCTGGGGAGTGAACCAGCAGATGGAAAACCTCTCTCTGTAACTCTGTATTTCAAATAAATAGAATAAAATCTTTAAAAAGAAAAAGAAAAACTTAAAATCAACTCAGATGGATCAAAGACATAAATCTGAGACCTGACAATACAAAAAGGCTGGAATAAAACATAGGGAGACATCTCTTTTTTTTTAAAAAAAGTACTTGACAGATAGAGTTAGACAGTGAGCGAGACAGACAGAGAGAAAGATCTTCCTTCCGTTGGTTCAACCCCCAAATGCCCACTACGGCTGGCGCTCTGCTGTTCTGAAACCAGGAACCAGGTGATTCCTCCTGGTCTCCCATGTGAGTGCAGGAACCAAGGACTTGGGTCATCCTCCACTGCCTTCCCGGGCCACAGCAGAGAGCTGGACTGGAATAGGAGCAACCAGGACTAGAAACTGGCGCCCATATGGGATGCCGGCACTGGAGGTGGAGGATCAACCGAGTGAGCCATGGTACCGGTCCCGGAGATATCTCTTAAAAGAGGTAGAGGCAATGACTTTTTGGTAAAAACCCTAGAAGTTCAGGCAGCAAAATTAAAACTTGATGAATGGGACTACATCAAACACTGAAGCTTCTGCACAGCAAAGAAAACAGTAATAGAGTGAACAACCAACCAATGGAAAGGGATAAAATACCTGCAAACTACTTACCCAACAAAGGATTAATATTCAGAATATATCAGGAACTCAACAAACTCAAAATCAAGCATCTAATGCAGTTAAGAAATGGGCACAAGGGGCCTAAAAAGACAACTCTTTAAAGAAAAAACACAAATGGCCAACAAATAGATGAAAAAAAAAAAAACTATTACTAGCTATCAGAGAAATGAAAATAGGGGCTCACACTGTGGCATAGCAGGCGAAGCCTCTGCCTGCAGGGCCATCATCCCACGTGGGCACTGGTTCATGTCCTGGATGCTCTTCTTCTGATCCTGCGCTCTGCATACGGCCTGGAAAGCAGTGGAAAATGGCCAAAGTGCTTGGGTCCCTGCAACCACATGGGAGATCTGGGAGAAGCTCCTGGCTCCTGGTTTTGGATGGGCTCAGCTCTCGCCATTGCGGCCATCTGGGAAGTGAACCAGCAGATGGAAGACCTTTGTGTGCCTCCCTCTTTGTCTGTTAACTCTGCCTCTCAACGAAATAAAAACTCTTTAAAAAAAAAAAGAAATGCAAATCAAAACCCCAAAGAGATATCACCTCATAATGCTAGAATGCCTATCAAAAAGAAAAAGTAAAAAACTCTAGCAAGGATATGGAGAAAGGAGAACTCTCATATACTGAGCATGGGAATCTAAATGAGTACAACCACTGCAGCAAACACCGTGGGGATTTCTAAAAACTAAGAATGGAACTGCCATATGACTCAACGATCTCAATACTCAGTATATCTCAAAAAGATATGAAATCATTGTATCGAAGAGATACCTGCTCCACCATGATTACTGCAGCACTGTTAACAATGGCCAAGATATGGAATCAACCAACGTATCCATCATCAGATGAAGAGATCAAGAATTTGTTGTGTACATACTAAATGGAATACTATTCAAGCATTTAAAAATGAAATTCTGACCTTTGCAGCAAAATGTATACAACTGGAGGATATCGTGTTAAGTGAAAAAAGCCAGGCACAGAAAGACAAATAACGTGTGCACCCCTTCACATAAGCAAGCTAAAACCCTGAATGCATAATGCGTAATAAAGGATGGCAGGCACTGCGGGGGATGGAGGGAGTTTTGATGATGGGCACAAAATCAGAGTTAGACCAAAGGAATAAGTTCCTATTGTTACACAGCACAGTGAGGAGACTAGCTCACAATAACCTAGTATGTATTACATGAACACACAGAAGAAATTCCAAGCCTTCAATCATAAAATATTGACAAAGAAAGGGAAATGTTGATTATCCTATTTTTCATCAGGACCCATTGCAGATATGCACCGAGACATCATACTGTAGCCCTTAAGCAGGTGAAATTATTGTTAATGTCAAAATTTTCAGAAAACAGAACCATACCATGAACCAGCACCACCAACACTGGGTCCATGCCCCATAGAAAGGAACTAAGTAGTTCATGTATCTGTAGTCTCATGTTTGAAGCACATTTTCAGCCATGAAGGAAAAAGCAGGGAGCACTCTGGTGTGGTCATCAACAATAATAATCGCTTGCCTCTTGCAACAGTAGACCAATGAAATCCACCTGCCAGGTGGCATGTGAGAGGAATCACCTCTCCAAACGCCACCAAGGGAGAAAAAGGAATGGTGTAAGTTTTGTCTGCAAAACAGACATCCCTGGGGGGCTTTCCAACCGAGTTGGATGGAATAGGAAAACCACAATCAGAAATCCAAAATGACAGGTATAAGATGTCCCCAGATCAGATATGCCTGGGAGAAGAAACTCATTCTGGTACCACAGTAGGAAAATGTCCCCACGTCAGATATGCCCAGGAGTTCAAACTCATTTTGGAACCACAGTCTCCACTATGAGGGCAGGGATGCAGATAAAGTAGACGGCATTTTTGTCTCACTAAAAGGGAATAGTATCTTGGCATACAAAATGAGCTGAGAGTTCATCAGCTGAAGGGGTCAAGAGTTTGTTGTATATATACGGAATGGAATACTATCCAGCCACTTGAAAAGAATGAAACCCTATCACTTGAAGCAAGATGTATGAAACTGGAAGTAAGTGAAAACAATCCAGACACAGAAAGACAAATACTGTACCCACTCCCTCACAAACACAAGCTAAAACAATCGGGGGCCAGTGCTGTGGCATGGTAGGTTAAGGCTCTGCCTGTGGTACCAGAATCCCATGTGGGAACCCACCTGCTGCTCCTCTTCTGAACCAGCTCGCTGGTTATGGGTTGAGAAAGCAATGGAACATGGCCCTAGTGCTTGGGTCCCTACATCCACTTTGGGAGACCCAGAGAAAGATCCTGGCTCCTGGCTTTGAATTTGCTCTGCTGCAGTTATTACAGCCATTTGGGTAATGAATGAGCAGAAGGAAAACATCTCTCTGTCTCTCCCTCTCTCTATAGCTCAGCCTTTCAAATAAAAATAAATAAATCTTTAAAATGCACCAATCTGACTACATAATAATTAATAAAGGATGTAAGACGCTGGAGGGAAAATGCAAGGAGTTTGGATGATGGGTACCACATCAGAGGTAGATCAAAGGAGTAACTTTCGAATGTTACACAGAATAATGGAGAGGATAGCTCTCAATAACTGAATACGTGTTGAATGAACATACAGAAGAAATTCCAGTCTTCAATCCTAAGTACTGACAAGTAAAGGGAAATATTGATCATCCCATTTTTAATCAGGACACATTCCAGATATGTACCAAAATGTCACACAGTAGCTCTTAAGTATGTACGTACAAGTATTGTTAATTTCAAAATTTTCAAAAAAAATAACCTTCACGTGAACTAAAAACTCCATCACTAGTATACACGAAATGGACAGGAACTAAGTATTTCAGATACTTTTGGTCCCATGTTTAATGCACCAGGGATGAAATACTTAGAATCTGATGACATTTTCAGCCATGAACAAAGAAGCAAGGAGTAGGCTGGTGTAGGCTTACATAACAGTAAGCACCTGCCATTTGCTACAGCAGGTCAACAAAATCCACTTGCCAGGTAGCATGTGAATAATCACCACTCCAAATGCAATCACGCGAGAAGCAGGAATGACAGTTTTGTCTGTACAGCAGGCGTTTCTGGGGGACTTCCACAACTGACTTGGCTACAATAGGAAAGCTACAAGCTGAAATCCAAGTTGATAGGCCTATGAGGTCCCAAATCATATAAGCCTGGGAGGCTCCCCGATGAAAGCAAGGAGGTAGATAATATAAAGTGCAGTTTTGCTACATTAAAAGGCAGTAGAATTTTGGCAATCAAAATAGCTGAGTTGCTCAGTGAGGTTAGGCCAGTAGCACAGATATCAACAGTGACCCACCAAAGGAGGAACTCCAAAGTAAGGGTATGGACTGTCCAGTTTGGGGCCACACAAAGGTCATTAGGAATTGGTGTTGTCCCAAGAATTGGTGGACATGTGAATTTCAAGATGGCCTTGAGTGAGGGTGGACTGCTTGACGACAAGTAGGATGATCACAGTTCTGCCCCCTGAGACACATGACGCTACCCCTGTATCTGGAAGGAGGTATCTGATGTGAGATGACCGATGGGGGTTCTGCAAATAGACGAAGTGTCAGAGGCTGACATCCTCGTAAGGACACACAGGGTGTGGGTTTGTCTGGCCTCTGAAAATACCACTTCCATTTAACAAGAGATTCTCAGAGGCTGGAGGCCAGGGCCCAGCTCATGATGCTGAGGGAGGTCAAATAGTAGTGTCACTACAAGCTCAAAGCTAACTTGAAGTCCTTTACCAATGGGACCCTCAGAACCAAAAACTAGCCATAGAGTAATCCTTAGCTTTTTCCTTGGAAGTATGCCTGACCAAGGTGCATCCTTGTGGGTGGCTGGTGAGACAGATGAATCTTAGGGTTCTTTAGAGGTGAGGAAGTTGGTGTTATCAGAAACTGAAAATGTGCTGGGCTTCCCTGGTTGAAACTGAATCAGTGAGGAAAAGCAGATATATGTGGATTCGTTGAGGAATTTGTCTGAAATCCTTGTTCAAAATATAGACCAAAAATTTGAGGTTGCAAGCTCTCATCTCATATGGAACTAAGGTCCATACCCACTTGGTCAAGAAGTCAGTTGCTGATGATTGAGGCCCATTTTTCCTCCTCCTCTTGATTATCAGTTGAAACAATGTCCTCAACATAGTGTCACAGGTGGATGCTAGGAGACAACTGAAGGCCAACAAGATCCTGTTAACACAGACCACGAGCCCTGGAGGACCACAGAGGCAGTCGACAGGAAGTCTCATAAAGGTGCATTGTTGGCCTTCAAATTAAAAGGAAACGGTGGGGCTGGTGCTATGGCATAGCGGATTAATGCCTTGGCCTGCAGCGTAAGCATCTCATATGGGCGTCAGTTTGAGATCCCCTGCTCCAATTCCCAACCAGCTCTCTGCTATGGCCTGGGAAAGCAGTAGAAGATGGCCCAAGTCCTTGGGCCCCTGCACCCAAGGAGGAGACCTAAGGAACCTCCTGGCTCCTGGCTTCGGATCGGTGCAGATCCGGCCATTCCAGTCAATTCTCTCTTTCTGCCCCTCCTCTCTCTCTATAACTCTGACTTTCATATAAATAAATAAAATCTTTACAAAATAAAGTAAATGGTGCCAAATCTCCACAAGACACATACAGTTCTTGCCACAGCAATAATGGCAAAATTATCAGGGGCAGTCTGATAATATCAAGTAAGGCAAATTCAAAGCGAAGCATGACCTTCTTGAGGTGGTGGTAACCTGCAGGATGCCTCCATTCCTATCCGCCAGCTTGGAGAAGGTGCTTGATGGGTGAGTTAATAGATGACTCAATGTATTTCAAAGAATACTTATACTCTATCATGGACAGCTATGTCGATTCCCCACTTGTCCTTCTTGAGTTATATTTTAGGGTGTTGACAATATAGGGATGTGTGTTAAGTGTCCATGCCGCATCAGTACAAAAGACTTGGGATTGATCTAGGTGAAGAACAGAAGTCTTAGGCTGTCCATGCCAAGGAACAGAAATGATAGCTGAGAGGTAGGCAGAAGCAACACAAGGACTCATAGGAAGAGGTTGGGTCCTGTCTTGATGCTGACCATGGCAGTCGACCCAAGGGCATGTCCTCTTCATAGTCTGTCAATGAATAATGACTGATGCACTTTACTGGGAATGATCACAATGCCGTAGGAGTTAGTGCCTGATGATCCATAAGGCTCTATAATGTGACCCTAATACATGGTGATTGTCATCCACAAAGATGCCTGGTGATGATTGCTTACCGCTAGTGTGCACAAGAATCCCACCATGGTTGAATGTCTGGTGGTCTTCTCTCTGTCTAGAAGGGCCTCAGTGGTGTCCAGAAACTCATGAGACTTGCCTGAAATGAGCCAGTAGGCAGCAGTGCAGCCTGCGAAGCCACTGACTTTGTTGACGATGTTCAGAATAGGTCCCAACATGTATCACAGGAAGTCAGAGAGCGCACCACATCTGATTACACAGCACTGGACTGCAGAGAGATGCTGAAGCAAACTCTGGCTGTGAACACTCTATGTGTCTGCCTTCGTATTTCCCAGGGTGCTTAGGGTTTGCGTAGGTTGATAAACTTCTGAAGTTGCCGCCAACAGGGCCAGAAGTTTTGCTCGGTCCTGTGGTGGGACTGCTTTTACAAGTAACAATGGGAATGCTGATGTTGTGGCACAGCTAACAATGCTTCCGTTTTATATTGTAGTGCTGGGGCATGCCCCAGCTACTATGCTTCCACTCCAGCTTCCTCCTAAGGTGCATGGATAGACAGTAGGTGATGCCTGAAGATCTCAGGACTCTGCAACCCATGTTGGAAAAGAAGATGGAGTTCCTGCTCCTGGCTTCACCTTGGCTAATCTGTAGCTGTTGCAGCCATTTGGAGAGTGAGGTAGTGGTTGGGATGATATCTCTATGTCGTTCCCTCACTAATATTTTTTTTCCAAATAAAAAATCATTAAAATGTAACAATAGCCAAGGAACTGTGACAGAGTTGTTAAGATGTCATTTGGGTTACCCACGTCCCATATCAGAGCGCCTGGATTTCAGTATAATCTTCCTGCAGTCAGGTTTCCTGCTAATGTACACTCTGATGGATAGCAGGCATTGGGTCAGTTACTTAGGTCTCTTCCACCAATGTGAGAGAACTGGATGGAGTTCTTGGCTTCTGACTTTGGCCTAGCCCTTTCAATAATGTCTGCAGGCTTTGGGGGTGAGGCCAACAGATGGAAGCATCTCTCTCTATCTCACACTGCCATTCTAATAATTAGTATATAAAGGCATCAATACATTGTATTTGGCATGGCAATTAAAGACATCATTTTTGGTGCCAGCATCCCATCACAAAGTATCTAGGATCAATACCTGTCATGCATTCACATCCAGGTTCCTGCTTCTGCTTACCCTGGGAAACACAGGATGGCTCAGATATTTGGGCCCCTGCCACTCAAGTGGAGTGATCCAACCAGTGGGAAATCTGTTTTCTTGTCTTTCAATGAAACATAATGACTAACGCTTAAGTAAGTGAATAAATAATTCCACTGGGGCCAAGGTAGCTTGGTTGGGACTGTCCTAGGGGCAGCTTTGCCATTCAGGGGTGGTGGCTTGCACATACTCACTGAAGAATGCCTAACAGCTCTCTTTTATTCTTAATTGTACACGTCCATTGAAATACAGAGGCTCCTGCTGTAGTGTGGTGTTTAACATGATCTGGACACCCACTGCAGTAGAAAACGTTTATGTTCACCCTCTGTGCAAACATGATGCCATCTGTTTGTGCTTTCCAGACAAGCTGGACAGGATCTTGATGTGGTTCAGTGACAGCTGCCAGCTGCCAAGTCTGTTGCCCCGTGATTTGTAGGCTACTTCCTGTCAGGAACACAGCAAGGTTGCCCTTCTCAATCTGTTCCTGTCCAGTCTTTGGGCAGGCTTTGTATCTCCATCCACAGCAAGGTGTATATACATCTGTGTGGACTTCCTTGGTGTCTGAGATACAGAACTTCACCACCTGAGACGGTTGCAGACAAGGCATCTACTTTCTTAACCATGTCCTGGGTGGTACTTGGCAGCATGTGAGGAGCAGCCAGCAGTCATCTGGTGCATCCGGACTCACCATCCCGCAGCACACAAGACTCTGCATTACCCAGGTGGAGGTACAAATGTCTGAAATGATCTCATGAGACCATGTTACTTATACGGGGCTGCCAGCAACACTCTGCACACAACCTCAAGAAGCCTCACTGTCTCACTGGGAGTCTGTGGGGGACACAGAAACCAGTGATAAACCAATGGGTGAACCCATGCACTCCATTAACAACGTCAGTCCACAAGTCTACCAGGTACTATTTCCCATACGGCAAATGACAGAGGAATTTTCCACCGATAAACTTTAAGCCTTTTTGACATGCTCTTATATTTATGACATTAAATATTCCTCAACACAACTGTTAACAATAACTGGATTCAACATTGTAGAATACATGATGTTGCGCATGGAAAAATCTAAACACTCCACCAAAAAATGGTTCAAGATGAAAAACCAATTCAGTAAAGTTACAGGTTACAAAATCAACATACAAAAGCAGTAGCTTTTTATATGCTAGCAGCCAACTTGCCAAAAATGAAATCTAAAAAGTAATCCCATACACAATAGAGACAAAAAGAAAACATTTAGGAATCAATGTAACCAAATAAGTGAAAGATATCTACAATGATAATTCTAAAATGTTGAAGAAATGAATCATCAAGGACTCCCAAAATGGAAAAATATAACTTGCTCACGGATTGGAAGAATTAGTATAATTAAAATACCTGTATTAATTAAAGCAACCTACAAAATAAATGAAATTCCTATCAGACACCAATGACATTTTTTACAGAATGAGAAAATAATCCTAAATTCCCTAAGAAATCACAAAATATCAAGAATAGCCAAAATTATCCTGAGCAAAATTTAAAAAACAATCAACTTGGAGGCATCAGAATGCCTGCCTTCAAAACTAACTACAAAGCTATAGCAATCAAGGCAGCATGATAGTGGAATTTAATTAATTAATTCATCAATCCAAACAGGTAGAGACAATTGATTTTTCATGGAAGTGCCCAGACTATACAATGGAAAAAAGTATCATCTATTCAGTAAGTGGTGCTGGCAAAACTGGATGCATCTATGTAGAACTGAATATTACAGTACTATAAAAACTGAAAGCCTGTTATTAGTATCAAAATCATTGCAACTGGAGGACTTCATGCTCAGTGAAATTATCCTGATACAGAAAGACAAATATTAGATGTTCTCCTTTATATAATGAGAGCTAAAATTTTCTTTTACGAAAAAAGAAATCAGGCAACAACAACAAAAGAAAAACAGAAAAAAAGTTAATGCCTGTGTATATCAGTATTGCTGCAAATATAGTTTTGTTCAACTTTCTTTTATATCTTTATCAAACAAATTCTTAAGGATGATATACTACTATAATTTTAATAATTCATGATCATTTTAAAATTTACTGTGTATTAGTGTAGTAGTCATTTTTATAGAAACCTTTGATTTAATAAACATAAATCTCATAAGTACAACTTTTGGATTACAGCAGTTCTTCCCCCCATACCCACCCTCCAACCCGCAAACCATCCCAACTCCTACCCCCTCTTCCATCCCATTCTCCATTGAGATTCATTTTTAATGATCTTTATATACAGAAGATCAATTCTATACTAAGTAAAGATTTCAACAGACTGCACCCACACAGACACACAAACTTTAAAGTACTGTTTGAAGACTAGTTTTACCATTAATTCTCCTAGTACAACACATTAAGGACAGAGGTCCTACATGGGGAGCAAGTGCACCGTGATACCTGTTGTTGATTTAACAATTGACACTCTTCTATTTGACATCAGTGATCACCCTAGGCTCCTGGTCATGAGCTGCCAAGGCTATGGAAGCCTCGAGTCCACAAATTCCAACATTATTTAGACAAGGCCATAATCAAAGTGGAAGTTCCCTCCTCCCTTCAGAGAAAGGTACTGACCTCTTTGGCGGCCCTTTCTTTCCCTGGGATCTCACTCTTAGAGACCTTTCATGTGGGTGATTTTTTGCCACAGTGTCTTTCTTGTCTTTCCATGCTTGAAATGCTCTCATGGGCTTTTTAGCCAGATTCGAATGCCTTAAGGGCTGATTCTGAGGCCAGAGCACTGTTTAGGGTAGTTGTCATTCTAGGAGTCTGCTGTGTGGCTTGCTTCCCATGTTGGATCATTGTCTCCTTTTTAATTCTATTACTTTTTTTTTTTGACAGGCAGAGTGGACAGTGAGAGAGAGAGAGAAAGACAGAGAGAAAGGTCTTCCTTTGCCATTGGTTCACCTTCCAATGGCCGCCGTGGCCGGTGCACTGTGGCCGGCGCACTGCGCTGATCTGAAGGCAGGAGCCAGGTGCTCCTGGTCTCCCATGGGGTGCAGGGCCCAAGCACCTGAGCCATCCTCCACTGCACTCCCTGGCCACAGCAGAGAGCCGGCCTGGAAGAGGGGCACCCGGGACAGAATCCGGCGCCCCGACCGGGATTAGAACCCGGTGTGCCAGCGCCGCTAGGCGGAGGATTAGCCGGCTTTTTTTTTTTTTTTTCCTATCTATTACTATCAGCAGATGCTTGGTCTTATTTAGGTGATCCTTTTTTTGGTAACTTTTATTTAATAAATATAAATTTCCAAAGTACAGCTTTTGGATTACAGTGGCTTTTTCCTCCCCATAACTTCCCTCCCACCCACAACCCTTCCATCTCCCGTTCCTTCTTCCATTCCATTCACATCAAGATTCATTTTCAATTGTCTTTATATACAGGAGATCGATTTAGTATATATTAAGTAAAGATTTCATCAGTTTGCACCCACACAGAAACACAAAGTGTGAAATACTGTTTGAGTACTAGTTATAGCATTAATTCACATTGGACAACACATTAAGGACACAGATCCTACGTGGGGAGTAAGTGCACAGTGAATCCTGTTGTTGACTTAACGATTCACACTCTTGTTTATGGTGTCAGTAATCACCCCAGGCTCTTCTCATGAGTTGCCAAGGCTATGGAAGCCTTTTGAGTTCGCCAACTCTGATCTTATTTAGACAAGGTCATAGTCAAAGTGGAAGTCCTCTCCTCACTTCAGAGAAAGGTACCTCCTTCTTTGATGGCCCATTCTTTCCACTGGGATCTCACTCCCAGAGATCTTTCGCTTAGGTTTTTTGTTTTTGGTTGTTTTTTCTTTGTTTGTTTATTTTGTTTGTTTGTTTGTTTTTGCCAGGGTATCTTGGCTTTCCATGCCTAAAAACACTCTCATGGGCTCTTCAGCCTAATCCGAATGCCTTAAGGGCTGATTCTGAGGCCAGAGTGCTGTGATCTCTTTGACACTTAATGCCATCTTACTAGTTAAAGTGATCAGTTTAAGTTCATAACTGATCATAAAGATAGGACTTTTTTTGTTTGATTACTTTTATTGCCCTTGCCTATATTCTTCCTTAATAGATGAACTCTTTATTGAATGGAATATAAAGCTCTTATGAGGTAAATTTAAAAATACACTATTTCAAAAATAAAAGATTTTAAAAGAATGACAAGCCCTCACTTTTTTAATTTCTGGTTTGTTAAGAATAGTGTACAAATTAAAATGTCTCTGTAGTGATTCTCAAAAACCAATAAAATCCCAAATATGAAAAAGCTTATCTCATATTCATTGTATTGCTCTGATGCTGTTCAATTTCACATACACACATGAAAACATACTACCATTTTAGTTTATTAAAGGAAATAATCTAAAATAAATATCCATCACCAACTTAAAACACAGCCAGGTAGCCCTTCGACTGAGCATGACAAGAAAAGAACAGTTCAGTTATTTACAGGTTATGTTTTTGCTTGTATTAATTAACCATTTTCAAATACCATAATATTAGTTGTGACATTAATCATTTAAAACCCCTTAACTTTATACACCAAGTAACATGTTGGTATTTTTCCTTAAATTTCATCCACAAGAGTTGTACATATTTATGGGCTAGTGTGACATTTCAATACTCATATAAAATTTGTACTGATCAAATCTACATTAATCTTTGGCATTATTTTATGGACAGAGCCTTGGGCTCCTTTATTTCATTTTCTAATAAAAGATAACAGATTACTGTGAGCTACACACATCCCCGTGCATGATCCTAGGAAATGACTCAGTAATCTAAGGCTACTGGGATAATCATCCGTAAACCATTTTTTCCACCTAGTTTTAATATTGCAATTGGTTTCAAAAGCAAAACACGGAGAAACAATAAGGGGGAGGGGGGAGGAGAGAGAGAGAGAGAGAGAGAGAGAGAGAGAAGATACCACCCATCTAGTAGTTCATTACCCAAATGTCCAAAATACTCAGGGCTGATCTGACCCAGGCTGAAGCTGGAAGATGGTCTCCAATGTGGTAGCAAGAATCCAACTACTTAAGCCATCACTGGCTGCCACTGGTATCCTGAGCATTGTCTTTCCCACCATGCCAAATGTCTACCCTTCAAAAAACTGTCTGACACACCCTCATATAGCCCTGGCTTCCAGAGGAAGAGGCCACAGTCCCCTGTCTTGACCCCATCACTGCATGGTCTCCTACTCCCAAATCACTACACATGCCAAGCTCCTGCCCAACTCCAGCCACAGCATCTGGTTTAATGGATCCAACTGAAGACACTGGGGACCCTGGCCCACCAGGGTTACCAAACATGCAGTCACTGGACGTAAAGGCCCACATCTGAGGCAGAAGCAACCTGGATAACCACATGTCCAAAACTGAAACTGTATCACTGTTACACCACATATTAAAATCAGCTCAAAATGAACTGAAAGTCCATACAGAAGATCTGAACACTTACAACTTATAAAGTAGAAAAGTCCTTGACATCAGCCTCAAGAGTGGTTGCTTATGTGCTAACAACTAAAGCACAGAGAGCAAAAGCAAATGTAAGGAAATGAAACCCCAACAAACTAGTAAAGCAAAGATCAGTGAAATGAAAAGGCACACCAATGGATAGGAGGAAATATTAGCAAACTGGATGTGTGATCAAGGGAATAATACAAGGAAGGCATACCACTAAGCAGCAAAGAATACAATTTAAAAAGGACAAAGGACTGAATCAATGTTTTCCAACAAAGACATACAATGTACCCTGAGGGTATGTGAAAAAGTTCTGAACATTGCTATCATCAGCAAAATGCAAATCAAGATGACAATGGTTATTATATCTGTTAAATGGCTACTATTAAAAAGTTAAAAGATAACAAGTATCGGGCACAATGTAGAGTAAACAGAACACACACTAGTGGAGGGAATGTAAATTGTGCCAGCCATTATGAAAAGCAATATGGAAGTTCCTCAAATGAAATTAAAAAAGGAACAACCTTTATTAGCCATGAATCCAAAAGAAAACCACCATCTCAGAGAACTGTCTGCACCCCCACATTCACTTCAGCATCATTCACAATTCCACGATATGGAAATAACCCAAATCTTTGTTGATGGACCCATAAGGAAAACTGGGATACACACACAGTGGAATCCTCGCCAAACCTTAAAAACAAAGGAAATACTACTGCTTGTCACGAGATGGATCCAAAAGTATGGAACTACAGGACATTACAATGAGTGAAACAAGACACAGAAATAAGAAATACTACATGAGCACACTTACATGTGGAATACACAAAAGTCAAACTAACACAGTCAGAGAGCAGGAAAAATGAAGAGATGTTAGTCACAAGATACAAATATATGGTTATGGTGCTGGAGCTGGGGTGTAAAAGCTTGAGCCTCCACCTAGACGGCCAGCATCCCCTATGGGCACCAGACCGAGTCCCAGCTGCTCCACTTCCCATTCACCTCCCTGCTAATGTGCCTGGCGAAGCACTAGAAGATGTCCCAACGGCTTGGGCCACTGTGCCAAAGTGGGAGACCTGGGATCCAGCCCTGCCACTGAGGACATTTGAGGAGTGAAATAATGCATGAGATGAGATATCCCTCATCCTCTCTCTCACTCTATCTTACTCTCTTTCCCTGCTGCCTGCCTTTCTTTTTTTTTTTTTTTTTTTGACAGGTAGAGTTATACAGTGAGAGAGAGACAGAGAGAAAGGTCTTTCTTCTGTTGGTTCACTCCCCAAATGGCCCCTAGAGCTGGCGCTGCACTGATCCAAAGCCAGGAGTCAGGTCCTTCCTCCTGGTCTCCCACGTGGGTTCAGGTGCCCAGGCACTTGGGCCATCCTCCACCATCCCGGGCCACAGCAGAGAGCTGGACTGGAAGAGGAGCAACCGGGACTCGAACCCGGCACCCATATGGGATGCCGGCACTGCAGGCAGAGGATTAACCAAGTGAGCCATGGCGCTGGACCCTGCCTTTCAAATAAATCTTCTGGGAAAATACATATATAAATAAAATTTAAAAATTTTAAAAACGCTATAGGAGTGATAACTTTGTTAAGTAGCTTCATTGTACTACCCCTTTCATAGTGTATGGCAAGTACCAGGAGAGTCGAAAAGTTTGTGTGAAAATGCAATGTAAAGATCAGACTCATATCGAAACACACATTGCATGCCTTGAATATATACAATTTTTGTTTCTCGGTTGTATTGTAATAAGGCTGGAAAAATAAAACATGCAAAATAGGTTCCTATACTTAAAATGCAAATAAAAATTAAGGAACTTAGGTTAATATTGTGGGGTTTTGGTAGGCTTCATGGGAAAGAAATGAGTTTTAAAACATTCATGATTGGGGCTGGCTGGCACTGTGGCGTAGTAGGTGAGGCCACCAAATGCAGTGCCGGCATCCCATATGGGCATCGGTTCAAGTCCCGGCTGCTCCACTTCCAATCCAGCTTTCTGCTATGGACTGGGAAAGCAGTAAAGGATGGCCCAAGTCCTTGGGCCCTCGCACCCACGTGGGAGACTTGGAAGAACCTCTTGGCTCCTGGCTGCGGATCAGCAGAGTTCTGGCCATTGCGGCCAACTGGGGAGTGATCCAGCAGATGAAAGACCTCTCTCTCTCCCTCCGCCTCTCCTTCTCTCTCTGTGTAACTCTGACTTTCAAATAAATAAATCTTAAGAAAAACATTCATGAACTTGACTAAACTAAATTTCAGGCGGTTTATATCTTGAAAATAAAGATTCAGGATTTCTATCAAGAGAATATTTAAGACAATATCCAAGTAACACATTACACTGTCACCTCACCTCCCTCAGACTGAAAACTCAGAAATAGAAAATAAAAGTTAGTATATCTGAAGGAAACCAGGAAAGTGAGAAGTGAAATTAGAATTATAAATTACCATATGGTATTCTCCCACCGATGGGTGTACATTCCTATATGCATGTAACACAGTTACATATTACAAGCAGGTTGAGAATTCGCCCAATTAAACCATGGAACTGAAAAGGCAGGGCCTGCTTCATCAGCATGTCACCAGTGACACGGCAACTGGACCCAACGAAAAAGAGTACGCTCTCTGCTGTCCAAATTCTTGCTGGATTTCACTTGAATCTGTACTTTGTAAATGAAGGCTGATAGGAAGATGGGGCAAGTGCTGGGGCTTGGAGCCAGGGGGCTCATGCATAGTTTGATCTCTCACTGACTCACCGGGACAGGTCTTGGTCACAGTCCTCAGGCTCACTGCCCTAAAATGCCTTCCATTTCCCATCACTGGTGACCACAATGGCCCTTGGTTCAAAGCAATAGTTGGGTGTGGGCACATTATGTTTTGAGAACACACCTTTGGGGAGGCACCATGGTAGTTTCTCACCTAAACTCAATCTAAATTCCTAGGGTTTCCATATTGAAATGCATGACAATTTTTAAACAGCCCAATCTGCATTTTTCAGTTCCTACCAGGAGCTACACCTTATGGAGTTAGTTCTGTCAAGTTTTAGAATTTACACTTTCCTATAGTTTTCACAATGACATTCTTTCAGCTTATTTTGTAATCACAGGAAAGGAAGGAGGGAGGAGGGCAGCATGCTGGGGAGAGGAGGGAAAGGTGAAGTATCACTATACTCCTCAATCTGTGTCTATGAAATACATGATATCTGTTCACCTCTGTATAAATAAAAATTATTAAAAAAAGAAATTTAGCTGTGAAAACTGCAAGAGGAAATAAACGAACCAAATGGAGATATCATGTATTTAAGTTGAAGAACAAAGCAAAACATGGCAATACCAAAATATTAAACCAGGATGCTCACAGCAGTATGGCAGGGCCTTCCCCGTGGAATGAGTAGCAGTACAGGCCTACGGCATCTTAGTCACCAGGGGCTGCAGCCTCTGCCAGGGTCAGAGGTGCTCACGCTGCACTTGCTTCACTGGATCAATAGGTGGCAACGTCTTCACTGATCAGGTTGCTTTAGAACCCATTTTCATAAATGGCAGGACCCCAGTAGATATCATGAAGTATTTTACCAGAAAACTGTGGGTCCCATTACATTTATCATATTATCTCTATGTACCTCAAAAATTTAGGGTCTGCCAAGAATTACTCAAATTCTACCTGCACAGAGCAGAGGGCTATACACCATGAACATTAGTCTACTACAAGAATATCTCTTGGGGACGGCACTGCGGCATAGCAGGAAAAGCTTCTGCCTGTAGTGCCGGCATCTCATAAGAGCACTGGTTTGAGTCCCCACTGCTCCACTTCTGATCCAGCTCTGTGATATAGCCTAGGAAAGTGGAAGATGGCCAAAGTGCTTGGGCTCCTGCACCCACAGAGAGACCCAGAAGCAGCTCCGGGCTCCTGGCTACATATCAGCTCAGCTCCAGCCATTGCGGCCCTATGGGGAGTGAACCAGCAGATCGAAGACCTCTCTCTTTTTCTCTCTCTGCCCCTGCCTCTCTGTAGCTCTGCCTTTCAAATAAATAAATCTTTAAGAAAAACCTTTCTTTCCCCATTTGACACTCACATGTCATCTTCCATAGTAATCAGGTGGGGAAATCAAGCAAGGTGATCCATTAGTGTAGGAGGAGTTATCAATCACATAGAGCTCAGTGTTTGCTGAGGCAGTACTTTTAAATTTAACATCATATGTATGAAAATGTTTACAAGGTTTAAATGTCTTTGAAAGCAGCACTCTGAAAACTACACATATACCAATTCATTGAAGGATTTCCTGGACTCCATGCCTGTTCTCTCACTACAGCACTTCAGTAGAAAGCTTTATAATATTTGCAATACTGAACTGCAAGTCACAGTTTTAGTTTCCCCATACGTAATTATAGAGGCCTACATAACTCACAAACACAATTGTATAGAGGTAACAAAGGCATTGTTTGTAGAAAACTTTTCACCTAGTTTTTCCCCATAGATATGACTTTAGTTAAGCAGAGGAAAAGCATCTTAAGATGTTTGGCATAAACCACTCTAATTTTGGAATTTCCTCACAAAGTTTCTATATTTTAACTTATTAGTAGTGCACTAGTAGTTGCTAGCCTAGGCTTTTTGTGGGAGATGCTAAAGTTTCATGGTAGTCACAGGAACAGAGGTTTGTGGAAAAGGTGACAGAACTGAGACGCAAAAGTGAAAAGCAAAAGAATCACATATTCATGTGGCTTTGAGAAGGGTGTAGGGACCAGACAGCCTTTGAGATGCCTGGTGATTGTTATCAGAGAACATCTGTGGACTGGGAGCATGAGAAAACAAAAGAACAGATTTTTCTTGGTTTGTTGTGTGTGAGGGCAAATTATGGAATCAAGGAATCAAGTTTGAAAATAGCCAACACGAGAAAACCATGGGCAATATAAATAGGTCAAGCTAACGATGAGAGAAAGAGCCAAGACCTTCCTGAAACACGGTACAGAGATAAGGCTGCCTAGGATGAGAAGACCAGTGAGAACAAACACATAGACTGAACATGGGGTCATTTCAACTTCTGGATTTGAACAATCAGCACTAACAGGAACACCAAGAGTGGATAATGAGGAAACTGGAACATCCACGAGGACGTGCACCAAGGAGCTGTTTCGGAGTAGTCACTGGTCAGCATCTCATAAGATGAGGATCAAGGAATGATCCTGGGATGTCAACACGAGTAACTGCTAACCAGAAGGAAGGGAGACTTAATTCACCACATACTGTAAGAACCAAACCACAAAACACAATACCTACGGATTTTGAAATTTTGTGTTGTTTAAAACACAGGACAAACAGGGATTTCAATTCACCAACCGATGGTTTAGAACCAATTACACGGCAACCAGAGTGGATACTGCCCAGAAACAATGCCCCTGCCTTCTCAGACCTAAAAATGGTCTACAAATATCATAATCCGAATGATTTCAGAATTTCAAAATCGAATTTAGAAGTAAAAAGAACCTGTATTGAGTTATTCAGAACCTTATAGTTTTATACCTGAAACAAATATACTTAGGAAGTAATGCTACCCTCTCAAAATTTCGGTGCCATCCTCTGATGATAAACGGAGTCCCCATATTCCTAGTTAATGCAATAGTATGACTGGGATATGTAAATTTTACATGATATGTCTTCCCAGATAACCACACTCATTAACGCAATACAACAATGTATTCCTCAGGAACTTTTTCATAAAATTAGGGAAACACTGGATATCACAGAGGCAGAATTAGAATTCAGTGGGGCGATGACAACAATGTACAACCATCTTTTTGAGTTTAGCAGTCAAAGTTATTACTGCTGTGTTGGAGAACCTTCAACGCAAACTGAGAGAAACTATCTTAGCAAATTAGGAAAAACAGGAAGCAAAGCCTGTGAGCAGGAACTTCCTTCCTGGATGACCAGATCCACTTTCTCAGCTCCTATCCACTAAGTAGAACTATAAATCCAGAAAATAAAACAAGAGACCTGGAAATTAACACAGTTGCTGGGCATCTTAATTGCCCACCTATAAGAAGATGACTCACCTGCGGGCACCTGCTGGTTCACCCATCCTGGCATCAGAATTCAGCCAGGTAGGCTCACACCTCCTGGAACTGTCTGTGATACCTCCGAGCACATATACGGTTTACAATATACAATTTAAAATCTATTTAGAACATATGATATGAAATTTATAATATATAATAAAAGGTTATCATATAAAATACAGTATTCAATTTATAACATACAATTTATTCTTCCTTCCCCCTGGCTCCTGAAGGCCCAAGTGTCCCCTGCCTGTGTCCAGGACCGGCATATGATACGCACAAACATTTCAAGAAGACTCACCAGGTGAGGATGGACAAACCTGAGGGTCCTGTTGAATCTACTGCCACTCCTCTGACACTGGCAGCCCGGCCCTTCCTGTAGGTGTTGCTCTCGGCTGCTCACCTCCTTGTTCTTAGGGCCAGGGCTTAGCACATGCTCCAATGAAGAGCTCCACGGCGCTGGACACCAAGAAGAGAAAAGGGAAACAGCAGCACTGAGCACCCCTTTTATAAACTCGGTATTCAATAGCATACATCATTTCTGGTCGGATTACCTGCAGGCTCCAACCAATCAAAAAACAAAGACCAAGCCCACGCAGGGGTGTGGCTCCAGGCTTCTCCTGGGCTCCTGCTGTCTGTCCCCAGTAGGCAGTGAAGCCAGGCGCCAGCGCAGTGGGGCCACAGGTCAATTGTTTGCTTCACTTTTGTCATGGAATTTATTCCACCATTCGATTTAAAATTTGACAGAGTTTTTCTCTTTAGGTACAATACATACTCATCTGCTTTTTCTCCTTAGAGTGTTCAAATAAAGTGAAATTGCTTTTATAGGACTTATGCATTGGGAGTGGTGGCTGTTTTTCAACTACTAGATTACAGAAAGAAAACAAGGGTGGGATGCTGGCATTACAGGTGATGGCTTAACCCACTGCACCACAACACTGTGGTGTAGTGGTGACTCCTGCGGTGCCAGCATCCCATATAGGCAGCAGTTCGAGTTCTGGTACTCGGATTCCAATCCAGCTCCCTGCTAATGTGCCTGGGAAAGCAGCGGAGGATGGCCCAGCTCTTGGGCTCCTGGCTCTTGGCTTAAAAATTTGCTCTGTGGGCCAACGCCGTGGTAAAGTAGGTAAAGCATCCCTCCGGCAGCGCCAGCATCCCTCATGGGTGCGGTTCGTGCCCCCGATGCTACTCTTCCAATCTAGCTTTCTGCTTATAGCCTGGAAAAGCAGCAGAAGATAGCCTCACTTCTTGGGCCCCTGAAACCATGTAGGGGACCTCAAAGAAGCTCCTGGCTCCAGCTTTTGAATTGGTTCACCTCTGGCCATTGCAACCATTTGGGGAGTGAACCATTGGACGGAAAACCTCTCTCTCTGTAACTCTACCTCGCAAATAAATAAATAAATCTTTAAAAAAGTTGCTCTATCTCCCACTGCTTTTCAGAGAGAAGGTGGATAAAAAGGTGCTGTGCGCTCTAAATCCATTTGACAAAAAGGACTAAGATAATCTAAGATCAGGAGCAGTAGTAAGCAGCCTTTGAACCACAAAATAGAATAAAAACTATGTTGCTTAGCACACCAAGTGTTGGTCCACTACTACTCAAAATCAAAGCATTTCATCCTTGTAATTATGCTCACAGGACACGCACTTATATACCCTAATGGTTGCGAAATTTTCTTCAGAATACTCAAGGACTTTAATTTTTAAAGAAGAGAAAATGCCAGCTTTGATAAAATGAACATGCCTGCACTCGAAGGGAAAATTAAACCTTCAGAAAAAAAGCAGTGAAACCACCAGATTGTGAAAAGAGTATTTTATCCAACAGGAAGTTTCTGAAAGCTGTTTTCTGTCATAAACAAACAAGGTGCCCAAACTCAGGACTGAACAACACATTCTACCAGTGCCACACAGCCACGATACTAAATTATTGTTCTTGCCAAGGCTTCAAATAGAGGGTACATTTCTAATTATGCTGGGTAAGCTCCAACACCCTCAGTTTTGAGCAAGCCGAAAATTGTAGTCTAATGCTGCAAACTTCTATCAAGTTCCTAGTACCACGGGTTCAGTAAGTTATAACACACCTAAGATGGTGAATTTACTGATGACCAAAGATTGCCAAAACGACTTTTCACATACATTTCCTCAGGTTTTTAAACAAAAGGCATTTTAAAGTTGCTATAGCAATATAAAGGGAAAGTAAAGAATGACCAATCACACTGCCTCTGTTAAGGTCAGAGATGCTCTGTCTCACCTGCATTCCTTGTAGGCTGAGTCTCTCAAACACAATTCTGCAGAACGGCATAGTTTCTTTTTTTTTTTTTTTTTTTTTTTTTGACAGGCAGAGTGGATAGTGAGAGAGAGACAGAGAGACAGAGAGAAAGGTCTTCCTTTTGCCGTTGGTTCACCCTCCAATGGCCGCCGCGGCCGGCGCGCTGTGGCCGGCGCACCGCGCTGATCCGATGGCAGGAGCCAGGAGCCAGGTGCTTTTCCTGGTCTCCCATGAGGTGCAGGGCCCAAGCACCTGGGCCATCCTCCACTGCACTCCCTGGCCACAGCAGAGAGCTGGCCTGGAAGAGGGGCAACCGGGACAGAATCCGGCGCCCCAACCGGGACTAGAACCCAGTATGCCGGCGCCGCTAGGCGGAGGATTAGCCTAGTGAGCCGCGGCGCCGGCCAGAACGGCATAGTTTCTAATTTCACAAGGCTGTAGTGATTGTATCTGGTGCCCAACACAGACAACCTAGTGCTTGCTGTGCTGCTCAAAAAATCCCAGCAAACCTTGTGGTCAGTTCAATTCTAGAAGTCTCTTCTACCTTCTCATTAACTGCTACTTATATTCCTCTGTTTTTCTTATGACTTTCCCACATGGAGCATTCTCTAAAATACCTTCAGGCCAGACTTCAGCCCCTGGATCCTCAAGAGTACAATAATGTACAGTTTGCAGGGCACTGTTAAGAGGTCAGGGAGAAGTCCCCTGGTGTTAATAGCTTGAGTAATATTGTTTTCTCCTTTAGACCACATCATTAAGGTGCTTTCATTATCCATAAAGCAATTCTTTATGTCACAGCAAATGAGATCCGGCACTAATTCAAATAGGCTAATTTCAACCTAACAAAATAATTTATTCCTAATAACTAAAGGACCAAGACAATGACCAAAATTTGTAAAGACTTGTTATGATACATGAGGGATCTTCAAACATTATATAAAACATACGTATTACAAAAAATATGCATGGCTTAAAAAAATTTTACACTAAAATAAAGGTATCTTTTGATTCCATTTCCCATTAACTTTCTGAACTATTCTGATGAAGAAGAGAAAAAGCACGGTTTTAAAAATGAATCCTACCAGAGCAAAGGATGATGCTACATGATAATTTACAAGGGAGAAGCCAGCAGAGAAGACGCAAGAAGCCTAACGCAAAAAAATGCTGCCCTTCCTGAATTGCAAGGTGACTTGAAGCAGAGGAATGAGATTTCCTTTCCAAGTTAGAACAAATGCACACATTAGCATTAAGTTCTTTTTTAAAAAAGATTTATTTTACTTATTTGAAAGAGTTAGAGAGACAGAGACAGAGACAGAGACAGAGACAGAGAGGTCTTCCAACAGCTTGTTCACTCCCCAAATGACTGCCAATGGCCAGTGCTGAGCTGATCCAAAGCCAGGAGCCAGAATTTTCTTCTAGGTCTCCCACACGGGTGCAGGACCCCAAAGACTCAGGTCATCTTCTACTGCTTTCCCAGGGCTTAGCAGAGAGCTGGCTCAGAAGTGGAGCAGCCGGGACATGAACCAGCACCCATATGGGATGCCAGTACTGCAGGCCAACACTTTATCCTGCTGTGCCACAGCGCCGGCCCCAGCATCAAGTTCTGATAGGACCATCTCCTCGTCCTGAGGCTCTGCTCCATACTACTGGAAAGACACAGTTTTACCTTCTAAGCTACACACAGATTTAGTGACAGCCTCCAGAGCACCATGGCTTGCTGTGCCACCCTGGCATCCCAGGAAGATCCCACAGTCCCAGCAGGAAGCACTCAGCTCCACCATGAGGCGGCACTCAAAAGTCTTCACCATGGGTGTCTGCAATCACAGTTGGATATCCAAGTGGTCACACAGATCCGAGGAACTCTGTTACATGTTTTCTGGCATCTGGAAACTCAGAAGTCAACTCAGTACATTTCCAGAGGCCAGAGCCTCTACACCTAGGACCAAGCAGCTCAGAACATGTCCTGGGGTGGGGGCAGTGAACTTCCCAAGGCAGGAAGTGTTCAAGTTGCACATAAAGTACCTGACCTCTGGTCCAAGATCCATTTGTGGGGATCTTGAGGTGACCTTAGTTATAAGGGGGCTGCTTGGATGCAACATTTCTATCAGGGGCCTTGTCTGGACCTTGATTGCCAGGCTCAGAGCAGGAATAGAGCAGGGACAGACTGTCCCATGAGTCATTTGCGAGCACAGTTCTCAAAGTGTGGTACCATAGAAACACTAAGCGGAGCTGTGGGGACCCAGTACTGCTCAGAGAACTTGCAGGAGGTCTCTGCCACACAGCAGCATTCCAGTTCCTCTCAGTGCTCTAGGTCAGGGGTGAGGAGCCTTACTCTAGAAAAAGATACCAGTCCTAGCTAGACAAGACAAGAGGTCTCTAAGAAAATCGAGGAGCGTGATCACGAGACAGTATGACTAACTAGTCCACACAATCCTCAGGGAGCTGATTTAATACGACATAAGTCTGCCCAGGTGCCCTGGAGTGTCACAGGATTAGACCTGGACTGGTTAAAGCCAATGGGTTATATTCAGCAGCCAGGGCCAACCTCATGGGCGTGCAGCCTACATGGTCACACAGAAACAGTCACACGGCTCGCTCTCTGAAGGGCCTGCACTGGGTTTAAACCTCTGCTGGTGGTGTCTTAAAAATCCTCAAAACTCTGTCTTTGAACTTGTGTTTTGTAAGCCAGTCAAAAGAGCATGAGTCTGAGCCAAGGAGGTAGGTGGAAGAAAGGAAAGAGCTTTATGTTTTAGTATCTTTAGTGGCCCTTTACCCCTGCCTTTGGAACAAGGTCCTCACAAAATTGTGCAGCAGGCCCAGTTAGCAGTGGTGAGGTAAACCCCTCCCAAGTAGCCAGCCACACTTTGAAGGAGGGAACTGAAGACTAATCAGGGATGGGCTTTTGGTATAGCGACTAAGCCTCTACTGCAATCCCCACAGCTCATGTTAGAGTGCCCAGGATCAAGTCCTGGCTGAAGTCCTGAATCCAGCTTCCTACTATTCCAACCTGGGAGGCAGCAGGTGATGGCTCAAGTACTTACATCCCTGCCACTCACATGGGAGACTTGGATTGAGTTCCCAGACCCTGGCTTCACATACCTTTCCAGCTGTTGAGGGCATTAGGGAAGTAAACTAACGCATGAAATATTTCTTTCTTCCTTTGAAATAAATAATAAATAAATTTTAAAAAGACTAATCACCAGGGACCTTGAGGACTCCTCAAACCCTCTGGTCCTAACCCTACCAGCAAATCTCCTTTCATACCTCAAGGTCCCTCTTAAAAGTCAGTTCCAGTCCCAGGGTGGCAAGGTACCCTCCTCAGACCCCCCCGCCCCCCGCCAACAGCTCAAGACTCCCCACTGGTGTGAACCAGGACACAAGACCTATGTTAACAAATCACAGCATGAGGCCACAGCATTAGCAAGAAGGGTCCTTAGTGACACAGCTCAAGTCCCTGTAGTTATTTATGCTCCACACACAGACAAGCCCAAAGACTAGGACCACTGGTTTTCTCCGGCTACCACCTCTCTGATACCCCAACTCTGGAACCGATGGAAGCTGAGGTTCCAACCCCAGGAGGGACACAGCTCTGGGGCAAGCAAAGCAGGATTTAAACTGGAACTTCACTGATCTTGATATATGGCCTAGGGCAGGTTCCCACTTCCTTTAACTAATATTTAAAAGGCTATCAGAAGTGCCTCCCTCATAGACCTTTGAAGAGAATTAGACAGGACAATGTGGTATAATTCAAAAAAACAAAAACAAACAAACAAAAAAACCTCTTGCTTCCCCTCCTTGTGTTGTTATTTAGAAATGAGACAATGGTACCTTAAGAAGCCTGACAACTGAAAGTGCTTCATTAATGCTGATTGTGTTAAACATCCTTTCTTGTCCCTCCGACCTTTATTCTTGTGACCAGAGCCTTCATTAACCATCACTTCCTGTCCCAAGACGCAGCAGTGAGGGCACTGTTAGTTCTGCATATATCAAATACCAACTGTGACCAGGGACTACAGGAATGAAAGCAGAGAGATAAAGTCCTGCCCTGGACAAGCTCACAGTCTTGCATGAAATAGGTATACAGCAAATAAATGGTGATTAAATGGGTAAGTACTTTACATATATAAAGAGTGTGTAACAGAAATATTTCTGTAATGAAATACATCCAAAAGCTCTGGATACTTACCTCTGTCAGGGGAAGGAGAGAAAAGTATCACAGAAAAGGAAGACACCCATACGGGATGCTGGTACAGCTGGCGGTGGCTTCACTGACTATGCCATGGCTCTGCCCGCCCCACACCCCCAAACCCCCAACAACCCAGGCTGTTCCCACTTGTGATCAAGCTGTCTGTGTGCAGTCTGTGAAAATTCACCAGATTCTGTGCAAATTAATTCGAGCGCCCCATGCCCGTTTTCCTGCACACACACCTTACACTTCCGAACAACCTGGAGAAGAGAGGCCGTGAGTCAAGGTCCTCTTCTCAAGGACGCGACCAAGGCTACTGCTGGCCAGGGACAGAAAACACCCAAGACGCAACCGAGGCCATGGGAAAAGTTCTTCCTCTCCCAAACCCCGCCACCACCCACACCCACCAGGACTCCTGTCACTCTCCACCTCCCTTTCCTCTCCTCCACGCGGGTTTCTGCCCCTCCCTTCCTCACCTCCACACCTACACATCACCTTTTCATTCTCCTCCCTTCCTCTCTCCTCCCGCGTCCCCCTTGAGCCCCTCCCTCCTCCACTTTCTATCCCAACTACCCCTCAAACACACACACCCTCCCCGCTCTCTGCACCTCGGGCCCCACCCACCCAGTGACAGGAAGGCCACCACGGCCAACCATCCACAGAAAGAGCTGAGTGGATATGAAGCCAGGAGCCAGGAGCTTCCTCCAGGACTCCCACACAGGTCCAGGGGCCCAAGGACTTGGGCCCTCTTCAACTGCTTTGCCTGGCCACAGCAGAGAGCTGGAACGGAAGTGGAGCTGCTGGGACTCGAACCAACACACATATGGAATGCTGGTACTGCAGGCTGCTTCACCCGCCAAGCCATGGCTCCGACCGCCGCCCCACCCAGGCTTTTCCCACTTGTGATCCCGCTGTCTCCTCAAACGCCTAGGAAAGCAGAGGAAGTGGCCCAAGGACTTGGGCCCCCGAACCCACACCGGAGTACTGGATACAGTACCTGGCTTGGGCTCCGGCCTGGTCAAGCACCGGCCATTGTAGCCACCTGGCACCTGGGCGGGGTGAGCCCACACACTGAAGATCTCTCCCTCACCGCCTCATCTATAACTCTGCCCTTCAAACCAGTCTTTAAATAGAAAAAAGTCGCGTACTTACTATGAGGTGTCAGAATCTTGGGGCAGGCTGGAACAGAGCAAAGAAGGATTCTTGGGGTTTCTCTAAGCTTCTGCTTTCTCCTCCCTGTGTGCAGTCTGTGGAAAGTCACCGGATTAGGTGCAAATTAATTCGAGCGCCCCATGCCCGTTTTCCTGCGCACACACACCTTACACTGCCGAACAACCCAGAGAAGAAAGGCCGTGATCAAGGCCTCTTCTCACGGATGCGGCCAAGGCTACTTCCCGCCAGGGGCAGAAAACCGGGGCCGTGGGAAAAGTTCTTCCTCTCCCCACCCCACGCTCAACCACACACTCACCGGGATGCCTGTCACTCTCCCCCTCCCTTCCCTCTGCCCCACGAGGGTTTCTGCCCCTACCTTCCTCGCCTCCACACCTGCACGCCACTTTTTCATCCTTCCCCCTCGCTCCCTCCTCCCACCTCCCCCCTACACCCTCTCCTCCACCTTCTATCCCAGCTACCCTTCACACACACACCCCACCCCCGCTCTGCACCCTGGGCCCCGCCTACCCAGTGACAGGAAGGCCACCACGCCAAACTCTCCGCAGGAAGGCCGTTTCTGTGTCTCTGGAACATGAACGCAGTCTTGAGGTGTAGTCTTCCAGAAGGGGCCGAAGCAAAAGACTGCACCTAGAAATTTCCCGAAGCCCAAGATAACTGATGCGGCCGCCTCAGACTGCAGCCTCATCTGAACCCGGCCTGAACCTGGGGGGGCACTCACTGTGTCTCTCAGGGTGGGCCACCAGCGTCGAGGATGGCTCCTCAAGGCTTGTGCCAGCGCTGGGCAGGAGCGGACACGACGCTGACTCCTACCTGAGCACCAGCACAGCTGCAGATGCGCCTGCGGGTGCACTTCCAGGTCACAGCGCCAGGCGCAGGCGCACTCCTCACTGGCCGTCGCCATGGCGCAACGGGACGCATCTGCGCACTGCGACATCCCGCGTCCAGCGCCCCCAGGGTCACTTCCAGTCCCGCCCCTCCAGGCTTTACCCAGGCGGGGCAGCCGCTGGTGGCCCAGGTACTCTGCACCCCACTTCCCTGCCTCCTGGGAGTCCTCAATGGAGCTCCTGCCCCCTGGCTTCTGTTTGGCACAGCGCATGCTGTTGAAGCCGCATGGGGAGAGAAGCAATGCAAGCGGCATCACGAGCGCTCTTTCTCGCCAGAGCGTCCATCTGGGGGATCAACCCCCCAGGTGACTACAAAGGCCGGGGCTGGGCCAGGCCAAAGCAGATGCCAGGGACTTTATCCGGTGCTCCCTTCTGGGTTCAGGGGCCTACGTCCTTGGGCCATCTCCCTCTGCTTTCCCAGGTACGTTAGCAGACAGCTGGATCCCACGGGGAACAGCTTCCGGGAGGGACCAGCGCTGTGCGGTAGCGGGTAAAGCCACCGCCCACAGTGCCGGCATCCCATATGGGCTCCGGTTCGAGTCCCGGCTGCTGTACTTCCGAAGCAGCTCTCTGCTGCGGTCTGGGAATGCAGCAGAAGATGGCCCAACTCCTTGGGCCCCTGCACCCATGCAGGAGACCCCGGGGAGGCTCCTGGCTCCTGGTTCCTGGCTTCAGATCCGCTCAGCTCCGCCCTTTGCAGCCAACAGGGTAGTGGACCAGCAGATGGGAGACCTCCCTCTCTCTCCTCTCACTCTGCCTCTCATCCTCTCCATGTGTAACTCTCAATGAAAAATAAGAAAGATCGAAAAAAGTAAAAAATTTAAAAAAGGAAGACATAGCTGTAAATAAAATACTGCATCAAGACCAACTACTAGAGTTTGTGTAGAATTTGATATTATATGCACTACATACCCTATTAACACAGAATTTGAAAAAGAGTTTAACTTAGAAAAGATTCTGGTACACATTCCTTCTCTTCTTCCTTACAAACATTCTGTCTGGCGTATTCTCTGACTCACGCATCAGGAAATCTTTGCAATTTATTTATTCAGACTCTTACGTATCCACTTGCACAAGGACACGGAACACCTGTGATCTACACAGTTCTCCACAGAACACAGGTCTGCTTGCAAGTCACCACCCTTCACAGTCTAGCCCTGCATTTAACCTATGGAATGTGTTTGAAATGGGACAAATCCTATCTTCCACAAAGCAAGACAGAATACAGAAAGGCAGCATCTGAGGTCACTGTTGACATTTTCTACGTGCACGTTATCATGTTGGTACTTTTTCTCTCATTTCTCAATGTTAGATACATCAGCTAGGAGCTGCATCATAAGCAGCACTAGGTGTTGGCACTGTGGTGTTGTGGGTAAAGCTGCCGCCTGCAACGCCAGCATCCCATATGGGTACCACTTCCAGTCCCAGATGCTCCATTTCTGGACCAGCTCCCTCCTAATTGCCTGGGAAGGCAATACAGATGGCCCAAGTGCTTGGGCCCTACCACTCTTGTGGGATACCCAGATGAAGCTCCTGGCTCTTGACTTTGGCCTGGCCCGGTCCCAGCCACCACTGAGGCCATTTGGGGAGTGAACCAGTGGATGGAAGATCGATCTATCTCTCTCCCTCTCTGTCTCTCTGCCTTTCAAATGAAAAACCTTATCTCTTTTTTTTTTTTTTGAGTAAAGTAGCAACACCAGGACTTGAAACAGGGAATACCATATGGGATGCAGGTGTTCCAAGCAGCTTCTTAATGCCATCCAACATCAAATACCTGCCCCTGAAGGTCTTCTTACACAACTTCTCATTTCACATGTGAGGTTTACAACCTTTGTTCCTCTCAAAAGGACAGTACTGTACTGCCTATGTTAGAAAGAGGAAATCTAGCAGGTAAGCGCTGTGGTGTAGCAGGTAAAGCCACTGCCTGCAGTGCAGGCATGAGCCTCAGCTGCTCCACTTCCAATCCAGCTCTCTGCTGTGGCCTGGGAAAGCAGTAGAAGATGGCTCAAGTCCTTGGGCCCCTGCACCCATGTGAGAGACCTGGAAGAAACTCCTGGCTCCTGGCTTCAGATTGCAGCAGCTCCAGCCATTGCAGCCATCTGGGGAATGAACCAGCAGACGGAAGACCTCTCCCTCTGCCTCTCTCTCGTCCTCTCCTTCTCTCTCTGTGTAACTCTGACTTTTAAGAAAATAAATCATTAAAAAAGAAAGAAAGAAGAAAGAAATCTAATCAGAGCAAGATCAGCAGTAACATTCCCGTGTCAGGCATTTGATAAGAGAAATGCCCCTACGTGTTCAAAGTGCCTCCCTGTATTCTCTCCATTTACTGAGTGCATGTATTGGTCAAACGACTGGTGCTTTTGAGGAGGATGAGCAGAACAAGAATAAGAGGCAAAGGATGACAATAATCTGCAGCAGGGCCATGGAACAAAGGTGGCAGAGAGGGAAGATTCTAGTTATACCAAAGCTATAAAGAGAAAAAGCTGAGTCGCTCCACATGCATGTAGAAACATCTAAAGGTACTCTGCTTTCTAGCCTAGGTAGGAGGCGTGAGTAACAAGAGCACCCATCAAAGAGAACACAGCCTTTTTTTACCTATTAAGACTGCTAACAATTACATAATAATGACCTGGAGTTCACACTACAGAATAGAGAAGCAGTGTGCTTCAAGACAGCACACTTGAGTCTTTTTTTTTTTAAATTTTTTACAGGCAGAGTGGACAGTGAGAGAGAGAGAGAGAGAGACAGAGAGAAAGCTCTTCCTTTTGCCGTTGGTTCACCCTCCAATGGCTGCCACGGCCGGCGCATTGCGCTGATCCGCTGGCAGGAGCCAGGTGCTTCTCCTGGTCTCCCATGGGGTGCAGGGCCCAAGCACTTGGGCCATCCTCCACTGCACTCCCGGGCCACAGCAGAGAGCTGGCCTTGAAGAGGAGCAACCGGGACAGAATCTGGCGCCCCGACCGGGACTAGAACCCGATGTGCCGGCGCTGCAAGGCGGAGGATTAGCCTATTGAGCCACGGCGCCGGCCATACTTGAGTCTTAAACCAAGGGTTCTAACATGATCCAGGAGCAACCAGGACTATAACCCGGCGTCCATACAGGATGCTGGTGATGCAGGCAGAGGGTTAACCAAGTGAGCCACGGTACTGGCCCCTCCAATCACTCTCGTAACATCTCCACAGTTCCCTCCTCATGCGTGTCCTCTCTCAATCCCTACTCAGTATAGATTCTACTGTCTGGCACTATCAGGCCCCCCACCAGGTGCCCAGTACTCATCCTCTCCTCCTCTGTTTCTCTATCACAGGAACCTTAAAGACCTTGATATGTACTAAACCCAACTCTCCGCCATCACCTCACCTCCACACAAATAGCTGGCCATGGTTCAAGGATGCTACAAGGAACTGCATCCCCTGAACTGCAATGTCTCCATCATTAACGTTTTACCACATCTGTTCCAATCACCTTCTTTATCTAACTGCACCCATTCTCATTACTCTTAGAGAGCAAGTTTCTGACATAAGGGCTGATCTGCCCTATGTTCACCAGAGTAAACGTTCCACAAGAGAATATTCACCTCTGGAACCTCAGATCAGTAGCTGAATAAGGAAACTGATACCACACTGTCAGTCCAATCTAGAGGTCCTCTGCACACGCTGTGCCTGTCAACAGCAGCCCTTGCACTTGCTGCCCAGCATCAAATGCGGCATTCCCTTGCTGTACCTCTTTTATTCTCAAATAGCTGCTCAGTGTTTCCCCACCTTTGTGATATTGACAATTCTCAAGAGTTCCAATCTTTCACTCTTTAGGATGTCCCTCAAGCAAAAACTGTAAAGGTGTCCTCAAAGTCAAACTCATGTTGGCATTTTATCAGAAAAACCTCAGAAATCACACTAACCTTTTCTCAGCTTTTCTCATCAAGAATCACATGATGTCAACGTATGTCACGACTGGTGAGGTTAACCTAGATCATCTGGTCACCAGATTTTCCTCTGTAAATCATAAGCATTTTGTGGGGAGATAACCCAATACTACACAGCATTCAATGTCTCATCAAACTTCTTCCCACCAACATCAAGATCCATTTGTAACTTCCATATGAATCAACTATCATTATGGTAGACGCCAAATAATGGCTTGTTTTTTTAACTACCCATTTTACGGGGAGATAACCCAATACTACACAGCATTCAATGTCTCATCTAACTTCTTCCCACCAACATCAGGATCCATTTGTAACTTCCATCTGAATCAAGTATCATTATGGTAGATGCCAAATAATGACTTTTTTTTTTGAACTACCCACTTCTTCATCATTAACAAAACGCCCCGCTGTAAAGAAGAAATTTTTCTTATCTCTCACTTATTCGTATACAACATCAACATTTACTTTAGTGCTGAAATTATCCAGTATCTGGCCAGTGTGCGCTCCTTCAAGCTAACTTCTGCATCTTCATGACACACCCTATCACTCTGAAAGAATTTTTTTTTAAGATTTATTTATTTATTTGAAAGGTAGAGTTAGAGAGCCAGAGAAAGAAAGAGAGAGAGAGAGAGACAGAGAGAGAGAGAGAGAGAGAGAGAGAGAGAGAGAGAATGAGAATCTTCCATCCACTGGTTCACTCCAGAAATGGCCACAATGACCAGAATTTTGCCAATCCAAAGCCAGGAGCTTCTTCCAGGTCTCTCACATGGATAAAGGGGTCCAAGGACTTGAGCCATCTTTCACTGCTTTCCCAGGCACA